CCCCAAAACCCCAAAACCCCAAAACCCCTGGCAACCGATATCATGTTGATGCAATTTTAGGTGATTTTTAACCCCTCAAAAGTCTATTTTTATAGTATATTAGGCCTCTTCCGTGATGTGTGCCGTCTTGTAGCCTTTGTCGATAATTAATTACAGATTCAGCACTTTGAATCGGGACAGTCTAAGTAGTGAAAGTGGCTGATAGAAGTTTCTTGCCAGAAAATTCATATATAGCATCTTATGGTAGTCTACAGAATCCTATGAAATAAATTTGAACTTATAAAGAGGCTAGTGGAATGATACATATGGGATTATTAAACAAAGCTCATAGGTTCAGCTTTTACTGTAATACCAATTTTTATAGCTTCTTTTAAGCATATCTCCTACAAACTCGAACGATCACATTATAATACAAAAACTGAATGAAATACTACTAAAGTACTCTATTTCAGCCGAAATGAGAACAAATAATAGAGAAGCTGCCTATAGATCAGGACCAGCAAACCCTGAATGAAGAATATTTGATCAATGTATGAAATGGCTTTAGGTTATTTCCAAACACTTGTTTTCCGAAACTTCATAACTTCATTTGTCATATAATAGAGAGGACTATTTCGCCATAAATTATGAGCGTAGTTAAAACCTTGTGGCTAAGATTTAGGTTAATATAGAGATCTTAATATTGCCTCTAAGCTGACTGAGACTCAGCAAATAGGCGAAATCATCCTTATCCAGAAAGTTATGGGTTATGCAAGGTAAATTTCTATTTACCTATTAAACTCCTGAAAACTCAGACGATGAGTGGAGGATTCTTGGGCATACTAAATAGGTAAAACTTGCTGGCTTGAAGTCTCTGCATTATTGTGACCATAACAAGAACCCTGCATACACTATTGACAATCAGTTTGGATAGAAAAGACTGAATGAGAAACTGGAGAGCATGAACTATTTTAATAACCAGAGCAATAGATAAAATCATAGAGTCATAATTCTTTAGTTTCATAGCGATTTACGTTAAGTAGCCGAGTTATAGACACCCTTAAAGGTTATGGATACTCTGGATTTTTAATATAGTCTGGACTAAGACTATGAGCATTTCTGGAAATTATTTTGGTCTCATTGAACACCAACTGTTTATGTCTTTTCATAATATTTTTCAAATGATTTCTCAACTCTTTGAAATAAACAACAGCTTCGGCTAAAGTCTTGCCTTGATCTAAAGTTTGAAACAGCTTCCTCAATGACGAACTCTACTTGGCTCAGGCACTCAAAGAATTTATAACAAGGTTCTTCGTGCATGTAACAACATTTATGGTAGAGACTGAGTTGGTCAATAGAGGTTGTAAACCTTAATAAGTCTTATATTTCAAAACTCTATAATAACAGCATTTTCAAGCCAGAACTCTCTATCTAACCGTTCAGCAGTGCATGGCCTGGATTGATCGATTCTAGCAAGGAGTTTCAGCTGGGATTTCAAACTGTTTTCAGTCAAATTGCTACTAAAATATCAAGTTCATTGCCCAACTCATTCATGTAATAATATGCCTGCAAAGTTATGCACAAATTACTCCTTATGGTTATTAAGAGCAAGTCTGAACTCAGAAAATCCGTCTTTCCCACTTATAGACTACTACTTGGCTTTAGAACTGAGACGAGAGTTTTGCCAAGTTCTGAAGAACTATTAGAAACCTCCCTCTTTATTTTTCCATGATTTATGAACTTATTCAAGAAGAAATATTTCTTTTCTAGCTTAGAAGTTTCGAACTGGCTTTGAAGTTTAATGAAGAAGAGAGTACTAACAGTGCTCATATTTCATCATCTGTGATGCTAAGGCTAACCACTGATGACATATTTTGCTAATCTTGAGTCCTCTCCTGCTCAATATGATGAAGCTGTTATATCTGTTGATTGATAGTTTAGTACCATTGAAGATTAAATAATTTTCTATGAAAATGATCGGAGTGGTCAACTCACTTCGAACTAAGTTGGGAAATATTCAAATAGAATGTTTTCTGCCCTTACAAGTTACTATGCTTACTATTATGAGCAAGATTGATTAAACTATCAGTTTCTCCACTTAGTTAGTAGTCCAAATAATTGAAATCACCTGGAATTGATTCTTCATATGTTTGGAAAACGAAATAAAGTTATCAAATAAGTGCATGAGTTTTTTGCCTAATTTTTTGTGGAAAATTATGAAAAACAATCTAAAGTATAATATCAGTTTGATTGTAAATTATTGTGCTCCTTTCATCAGATATTATCGACCAAACCTACATTTGTCCGCTTTTTTAGGGCCAGGCTTAAAATAGGGATTTCACGAGGCTTCTCTTTTCCTTCTTGAAGTAAAAATTTATGAATTTCTGATGTAATTCACCAGACTATTTAAGAAACATAAGTTATCACATATCAGCTAGCTAATGGCCTTAACACACACATTGAAGGCTGGAAGGAGGACCTAGATATTTATTGTGACTCTCTAGTCCTGCAAGAGTCTCAAAACCTCTATTAAAAATATCAAAAATCGTTAGAGAATTAGGATAAAATTTATTTCCTAAACAGTCGAGCTAGCTTACAAGTCGCCCTGGCTTCGAGTGAACAGAGTACTCTTATATCCTTTATTCACTGTATTTCTAGAGCATGGAGCAATTAGACAAACTTATTCTAATGCAGAAAGCAAGTGCTAAATAACACCATAATACCATTTATCTCGCTAAGAAAGTATGCAACCCTTTAAGCATAAAAGCAAGAAGTAGGCTTAATAAAGGATAACAAAATGTAAGGAGTGGTAAGGTCTTTTAGCTTATAACTAAGTGGAGAAATGACCCCCATTCATCAATATTGGATGCATTCAAAAGTGCACAACATTAATCACCCATGTTATCCACAATTATGACTTAAAATTTAATAGGAATATAAGAGGTCTAGGCTCTGTACTAAATCAAAAAGAGTAAAATAGCCGAATATTAGACAGATTCTTATGAAAAGTTATATATCCAGTTTTCATTCTGATGGCAAGATGGTTTGAAATCCATCAAGAGTTTATTTAATTACGGACATAAATTCTTTTGTACTTTAGTAGAGACTTTTCCAAAATTTTTGCTCATGAATCTTTTCTCTGAGCAATCACACATCTGCACAGAGCCCGGAAACTCTTTGATTCCATGCACTTGTTGAAGCCTCCAATCGTGAACATCTCTGTTGTATGCAAGAATTGGTCGATTTCATTTCTGACTTTGTTACTGCAGTCGAGTTGATAGGACTTCTTGATATCAAGAATGCAAATAGTGAACTTGGTGAGTTCTTCAGTAACAAGTTCATCGGAGAGGACACTACCGATAGTCCTCTGCATGCTCTCGATGGCAGTCTGGACATCTCAGTCAACATGTTTATTCTTTATAATCTTGGGGTGCTGCTTCTTGAACAAGTCATTGAAGAACTTCCTGACGAGTCTGAAAGCAGCTTTCTTGAGCGAATTTTCTCTGTTCCGCCGACTTCTTCTGCTCTTTGTGTTGCTTTTACGTGTTCTCTTCGGCTTCTTCAAGCTTGAGACTTCCTTTGTATCTGAGAATTGAGTTGGAGGAACTGGTCGAAGTTTCATTACCTTCTCTGAAGCAACTTCTTTCAACCATGGGTTCAGTTTCACAAGGCTGAAATCAGTCTGGCCAAAGTCAGTCCAACTCTGGCTCAGATGGGTGCACAATTCTGCAAAGACACTATCAGGGCGACCTTGCATAGTTAGAAAAGCTTCATCACTGAAGAAAGCTGAGTTCATTACAAATTACAATTAATTATATTATAAACCTTTCAAATTAGTTGATCTTATATGGGGTTTTGGGGTTTTGGGGTTTTGGGG